TGTAAGATCCAACCCGAACCCACGTTTTCTCCCATTTCTTCCTTTGTTTTTCCGCAGCCGCTCCTCTCTGTGATCTCTCCCTCCCCGCGGTCTCCTCCAACCTCGTCGACGTCGCCGGCTACGCAAGTTTTGTTTACCTATTTTTTATTTTTTTTCATGTAGCAGCATCATAATTCCAGTAGTAGCATCATCGTCATATTTGGATTTGGGTTTTTTAGGGAATTTTCTTTTTTGGGGGGTGGGGTGGGAGGGGAAGGAACTAAGAAGTGCTTTCAAACATAGCATGAATGTTTTATGAGAATATTATTTAGTTGTTTGATTGGATCATTGGTTATGAGAATATTATTTTGTTGATAGGACGATCACTTTTTAACCAGTTTTTACAAGAAATTTTCCATCGCATCGTTGTTTACGCGTCAGAAGTTTTCATGGGTGAAAAAATATTCATGTTCTGTGTAGTTTTTTTATCCGTGCATTTTGCTCTTGTACTGTATGATTGCCCTCTGTTGCACGAGTGTTTTATGAAAATATTTGTTGAGTCTTCTATCAGATTAGTGGTTATTATGTTGGAAAGGAATTTACAACGCTTAGTTGACGGGACAATCACTTAAAAACACATGTCGCCAAATTATGGATGCTTATGGCAAACTTTGAACATTGGTAGTTGATTTTTGTTAAATACATGTGACGAAATTAGTTGGAGAATTGGTGTTTATGTTGATAAGATATATTGTGTGTTTTGTCAATTTATGTTGTGTGTATTGTTTTGATAAGATCATGTGCTATTAGTATTGTTGAAATGGTAAATCAGAATCTATTAGAGAGAGAGAGAGATGTGAGAGAACAGAAACGGTTAAGGGCCTTTAGAGAGAGAGAGATGTGGGAGAACAGAAACGGTTAAGGGCCTTTATATTTTAGAAAATTGAAGGGTTTTTCTCATTTACTTGCTCTCCAAGTTAACTGATTACAGGGACACTTTCAATATTTTCATCTAAATTTTGTTTGAAAAGAAAATGCTTTTTTAAAGAACTAATAATTAAAGTTATAAAATGCATTTTCTCTATGTGGAAAAATGTTTGTCTACTGATTTTTGCTTAATTCCTTGGTGAATCTAGCTAGGCCGGGAGCTTAGCATTATCATTTAATCTCCTGCATTCTTTCTTTTTTTTTGTTTGAGGAGATGCGACCTTTATGAGATTTTAATACGTCTTAAAATTTTGAGCTATGTAGCTTCACTAAATGCAAATAATATAAATTTTGGTAGCGATACCAAAGCAACCAAAAGGGAATTAGTTTGATATACTTACAAATTATAAATTCTTTATAAGTGATAATTTGAGGCAAAATCTTTCCATGTATATGTTGTATAACACTTATATGCTATTATTATCATGATTATTATTATTGTCATTGCTATTATTGCTCTTGTTATTATTATTATTATTATTTTTATAGTAAAACTTATAAAATTAATCCCCTGGATTGATGTCGGTTTTTGTCGAATTTAGTGAAGTATAAAGAAAATCGAACGCGTAACCTTGTTCTTAAATTATTTCATATATTATGAGGGGGAGAGGTCTCGTAGTGTTAGACTTTAGTATTATCTCATCTTTCATCCCTCTCCTTGGCCCTCTCCCTGGTCCTCTCCTCCCTCTCCTTCGCCCTCTCCTCCCGACCCTCTCGATGCCCAGTGATCCCTACCTTTCTCTCTTTCACCCCTCTCCTCGACCCTCTCCCGCCTCTCTTTGTCTCTTTCATCCCTCTCATTGGCTCTTTCAATGGCCCTCTACTCTCTCCTTCGCCCTCTCCCTCTCCCTGGCCCCTGGCCCTCTCAATGGCCCTGTCGTCCCTCTCTTTCTCTCTTTCACCCCTCAACCCTTTCAAGCCTCTGCGTCTCTTTCGTCCCTCTTCTTAGCCCTTTCAATGGCCCTCTCCTCCCTCTCCTTCGCCCTCTCCTCCCCCTCCTTCGCCTTTTCCTCCCTCTCCTTAGCCCTCTCAATGACCCTGTTGTCCCTTTATTTCTCTCTTTCACCCCTCGGCTCTATCTTGCCTTTCTTTGTCTCTTTCATCCCTCTCCTTGGCCCTCTCCCTGACCCTCTTATCCCTCGGCCTAGCCCTCCTCCCTATCAGCCTTCCTCGCTGCCTTTTGTCCCTCTCCGACCTATCCATCTCCTATTTCCACCGGTTCTTCCTCATTCCCTCTTGACAAATTCCAGCTACAGCCTCTCGGTTGCCCAATCACTCGGCCTTCACAACATCTCCCCCTCCCCCCACAACTATTGCTCGCCATCCTACGCATACATCTTCCCCCTTTTATCATCTGCAGTGCATCGTCGTCAGCATACTAGTTCTCACCCCCCAAGAACCTCATCTGCAGGGTCGTTCCTAACAAGATCACCAAGAACCTGATCTGCAGGGTTCTTACCCCCAGAATTATCGCCAAGATCCTAGTCAGGTTTCTCTCCCCGACATCACCACCGATATCCTGAGGAGGGTGCTCGCCCCTCTTCCTCCTGCAACTCAACTTCCTCGTACCCCATCATCCCCTTCCCCTTGGTACGAGGACTGTTGGCATTCAGAGATTGATCCCTGCAATAGTCGATGAGGACTGTCGACGGTTTCGACGACGATGTGGGGTTGGTGGGCTCTGCGATTGTTAGTGATCGGGCTTGGGCTTCGATTTTCGCATCGACTGTAGATACTGCGGCTGAGCGTGCTGACGGGTTAACAAAGGGAGGAATCGACGTCGCAGACGATCGGGAGGAGGACGACGACGATAGGGGCGCGCCTTCGCTCACAACTATCTAGATACTATTAGACGTTTATGATTCAGAAAATGATCTCTCCATTGACCAGAAGACAATTTCAAATCCATTTATAACACCATATAAGCATTGATCTTCTTCTGTTTTAGTAGTTGGAGAGATTTCCTTAAACCATTAGTTGCCCGATTCCCTAAACCCCACCTCGAACTGTCGAATAGTTCATGTGAACCAATTCCCAATACATTTATGAACCGATTCTCTCCGATACACGAATTGATTCCTCAAAATTAGCATATCGCTTACTAGTATGAGAGGACCAAAATTGATTTACAAGTCCGTTTTCATGCACATGCGCTTGGATTTTTTTATATGTTTCGATAATTTTATCGAAAGTATTCTTTCAACAAGTGGAAGTTATTCAAAGTTAATAACTAATTCTAGATCACTGTTTCTTTAACTGATGTTGCTAAGAAGATTTTGTCTTGGCCTATTAGTAGATCTTCAGCTGAGAGAAATTGGATTATTTATTCCTACATACATAATGTGAAAAGGAATAGATTGAATACTGGAAGGGCGGATAAGTTAGTATTCATCCATTTAAACATTCGCCTCCTGTCACGGTTCTGTGAGAACTACAAAGTTTGTCCATATAAAGGATGGGGTAAGGATCGAAATAACTTGGAGGACCCTTCAAGTAAGTTGAAGGAGCTCAAATGGAATTGTTTGGACTCGGAATAAGCAGAAGTTGCACTTGATGTTAAGGGGAAGAACGTTGCAAAATAGAAAAAATTATTAAGATGATGTCTAATATTTAATATTTTAAGTTATGTATTCAAAAACTATAAAAATAAAGTATTGACGTATTTTGTATGAAAAAATATTGAAATGCATGATTAGTTTTCTAGTTTCTAATTTTCTACTATACATTTTAAAAAATGATAAGCATACTCAAAAAAAAATTACATTGTATCCTATATCGAACTTGCATATCGAAGCAAGCTACTCCCTGTCGAATCCAAAATTTTAGTCTCGAACTGCATACCCGAATTCATACAACGACCCGCTACGTACCGCAAACCATGTAACTATGCCGTAAACATTTTATTAATGAAACACAGAGTTGCTTATACCCATCATTACTCTCGAAAAATAGAGAATTGGTCTCTTGTCAATCAAGCAAACAGACCCTTGATGTATGAGATGAAATCAGTTATAAAAATTTTCTCTTTGATCCTGGGAGTATGATGCACTTGGTTTACCAACTAAAGCTAATCTTGGGCACTTAAACTCTCCAATCTTTTTCTAAAGAAGGTGGTAGCTAGGCTTTGTCTCTAGGAGCCTGACAGTTACTAATCTGATAATAAAACTGAAAAGCAAATCTCTTGACTTAATCAAAGTTAGAACTATCCTTATAAAGGTCCTCTCGCTAGTGCCAATCACATCGCTATGAAATGGATTTGCAGGAGAAGCTCAAGCAAGCAAATATAAGATGAGAAAAGCTACCTTTTGGCTAAGGAAGGTAGCGTACGAACATATTTTAGTGCTCACTTAATCCCTCGACATGTGACATTTGATTTATATTATACCGATCAATTATTAGAGAAAAAGTCGACATATATTTGTTTTCTATTTTACTCTACTCAGCTAGTTCTCATCCTAGCTCAATTGCTATGTAACCAGTCACCAATACCCATCATCTAAAACATTACCCACGAGTTCAGCTTAATCCATACAAAGTTAATTGTACATGACATCGCCAAAGCTAAACCGAAAGGGTTAAATAATCCAACTAATTAATCCTGAGAAAGTAGACAAATGCTTAGCACGCCTAACATAGGAGAGATTCTCTAAAATAATGTTGGATGTGGATATGGAACTCGTAATTTTCTCATCGTAAAGCACGTGTCTTATTAATCCTCCTTAACAAGATATTTGATCTATATTAATTTGAGCAACCATGTTGTTAGGTCACTCCTTAACCCAAAGACTCCTTTTGCTTTGTATATATTATAATAATATAATAAAATAAAACATAATGCTAGACCTAGAACCTAATATTGTAGGTCTAACAAGTCTTAAAAAACTAAAAGAAATTACATCCCTTTATATGCTAGTACAAACTTTATTAGTTCCGCAGGAGAATCCTTTATATCTTCTTCTCTGACGATTTTAAAAAGTAGAAAAGTTGGAGAAAAATCTATTTTTATGATAAACCCACTCAATACAAAAAAGAAGAATAATGTTTTTCTAACTTGAACTTTCCAGCTCAAATTGAACTCAATGAAACGTACTCGCAATGCCCATATGTTTAGACCTAATTACATTTAAGTTAGAAAGCTTGAGTTAGAATGATAATACTCCGAGAATGAACAGGTACACTAGAGAAATGTATTTTATGAAAATCTCTTACTTTGGCACTAACATTATAGACACCTTGATGGATATATTCAGTTGACTGAACTATAGTTTCATCTAGCACCTTTAGTTTGTGTATTGCATATCCTGGTACTGTATATAATCTAATAATTAAAGTTTTTTGATAATATGATTCTTGATATTGTCAAATTTTAAATATATCCATTTGTTTCTCCTCTATTCTGCCTCCTATAGGAATTCAAAACTACTAGAGATTTCACACTGGGAGAATGTTCAAATTACGTTAACTTGAAATGTATTGTTTAAGTACAATTCAATGATTTATAGTTTTAGATAAAGTGATTCATGACAATTATGCTTTCACAAAGGAGATGATGAGTTGAGTAAGCCACACTAATGAACCTGAACCTGAACCTGAAGGACGCGGAGGCCGTACTTGGACCCAGTTCACTGTCTTACGTGGTAATCCAGGAAGAGAATGACCCTTAGATCGGTATATTTATCCTAAATCCTCCATATTTTGCACTGATCCTATAGTTCTCATCTCTTGGAATAACCATATGTCAAACGAACCCAACCCACTGGATACTTTCTCTTGTACGGGAGGTGTTGGTCAAGCAATGATGAATTCACAGCAAAGTTGCCATTTTTGTTAGACTACAGTAGTGTCGCTCGTTCTATTTATAAACATTAAGCAAAGTATGAAAGTGCATGCAAGGGAATGAGTTGAGGATTAATCTACCGCTGAGACATATGATAACGTACAATTTGGCCAGTATGTGCATCCATGATCCACCTGTAGATGTAAGAATGATCAAGTACCAAGAAATAGAGGGGGGAAATGGACAAATTTGGATTGTGAGAGTAGAATTTCTAACCCAATATTAACTATAAAGTAAATTCGAAGAAACATAAACTTTGTTTTCAAATAACTATAATGTCTCTGTCTGAAATAAATAAATAAATAAAATATATACGAGAAAACATTTCCCCTAAGGAATGGAAGTTATTCCCCTTATTCGTTTAACTACACTATCAAACAGATAACTATGACACCTAAATAATCAGATAATATACCCTCTGTCAGAAAATTTTGAGCCACAACTATATGAAAATATCTTGTTTCCTTACTTATTCTACTTGGCACTTGGACCGACTGGATCACCCTCTATTGAAACTGTTATGAAAAAAAAGGGTCATTTGGATATGTACCCATTAAATCATAGGTATTTGCAAAAATGCCCCCAAATCTTTCTATCCGCAAAACTACCCCTCAAATCATCAACTTTAGAAAAAATTTCCCTAAAATCAATAAATCATCAACTTGGTGATAAATATTAATTATTTTTTTATAATTTTTACATTGCAATTACAAATTAGCTTATTAAAGTTGATAAGTAATTGTTTTGAGGGAAATTTTTTCCTAAATTGATGATTTGAGGGGTAGTTCTGCAAATACTGGGATTTGGAGGATATTTTTGCAGATATCCATTCTTTAAGGGTATATATGCCAAAAAAAAGACCCAAAAAATAAAAATGTTGCCTCACTTTCAAAATTATATATTAGATCTTTTTTTATCATGACCTTCTTGGCCAAAAAATAAAAATGTTGCCTCACTTTCAAAATTATATATTAGATCTTTTTTTATCATGACCTTCTTGGCCCATTTAGATTTTATGATAGTATGATTAAAAATTATATATTAGATCTTTTTTTATCATGACCTTCTTGGCCCATTTAGATTTTATGATAGTATGATTACGGTCAAGATTCCCATGATTGTGGCTGGCTGATAGAGTGCAAACTTGTTTGACACCAACAAGAACTGCAGGATCCTATCAAGCTGTGGTCATAGTATAGCTTGAAGCCAGGTTAAGGACAAGTCAAATGGATGGCAAAATAAAATTAATGGTGACTCATTTATGTCGGCACACAAGTCACATTTGAAATGTTGCACCTCGGAGGGACCGTTTTGTCTGCTTTTTTCTACATAATTTGTTGTGAATTAGATTCTGAACAAAATGCTAACAAAAAAATATGTAAAATTTTATTACGCAATTTTATGTGAACGAACAAAATATTGGGAAGATATTACGGGTTGGAATAATAAATACTTATTTTAATTTTCCATTTGAATCTATTATTTTTTGATCGATCTATTTCCAATATATAATTTGGATCTCTAGCTGCTTTGATGGTAAGATGCCCCACCAGCAAATTGGAAGTGAATTGGACCCAAACCCCCGCAAAAACTAATATGTGACAGGGTACCACACTACTAAAGTAAAGAAGTTGCAGATGATGCTAGTGTTACATCTGCAAACTAAAGTTACAACAACTTAAATCCGTGTGAGCTACAATATGTTGTATGTCGTATTAATGCTCAAAAGAAAAATGTGAATTACATTTGCACCTTTTTTCCTGTAACTACTGTTTGCTTATAGATTTTAAGTATGACAGTCACACCCAACAGCAAATATAGAACCTAAAGTTACGAGCCTAAAGTTGTGCGTACATCCATTGATTCTGATCTCAGCATATGTTGCACATTTGCATATATTTAATCAATGATGGGTTCACTGTCTCAGTGGCTAACCAAGCGAGACAATATAGGCAGCTAAAATGTCAATGACATCAATGACATGTTGGTGAGAAAACCCCCAAGTAGGAGTCAAGGACTTAAATTGAAAACACACAAATTCAAAGCTATGCAAAGCTTGTAGGTGCCCAAAGTCCTCAAGAGCAACCCAAATTTTGACTAGATTATGTAAACCACATGTCAAAGGTTAGGTAATTGTAAGGTAAATTGCCATTAAGAGGGTTTGTTACCCTAACTCAAAGACCAGGATGGAAATATTTTATTTATTAGTAGGGTAATGTGGGTTGTTGAAGGGTCCCCTTGGCCTTTAGGTTTGGCCAAAAGCTCGGAATTCTCCTTGTCTTGACACGATATTGTGGGGTTCAAGCTGGTGATCTAAACATAGGACGCAAGGGTGAAACTCCGATGTCAAATTCTTCCACAAGAGAAACTTGACCTATTTTAAAGATTAACTACATAATCTTAAATACAAGGTTTTGTGACTGCTTACTTTAATTGCTATCTTAAGTATGTAATTTAGGCAGGCCATGCATGCAAAGCTTGATAAAGGAAGTCGGCAAGTGTGGTAATATTTATAGGTTTTCAGATATTTGGTCACAGCTCATTGATTTCCTTTGTTGTGAAGGCATCCATATATTAGCTAATCCTTTGTGAAAACATCAACTCGCTTTTACACAAACTTAACAGATGATTATAGAAAAAGCAAACTCACCTGAAACTGACTTGTTCTCCACACAACAACACCCAGATTCTGATTCATCTAATGTCTCACGCTAGAAGCTATTGCTGACCGGAACCTGTAAAGATAAATTTTAAATAATTAGTTTTGAACTTCTAAAATGTTATTCCTTTGGATTTAGATACTATTATGTTTATAAAAGGTAATGTTAGTATGTTAGGCCTCAAATTCTACAGAAAAGAAATTGATGAGTTAAATGGATTATTCACTTGGACAAAATTTGAATTACAAAACACAACTAATCAAACAGCTAATTTTCTTGTGTCCACTTCCTTCAGTCTTGCGGAAATAGAAGCAAAATCTGCAGCAGTAGAGATCTTAATGAAATGCCTGCCAGATTTTTGTCCTTTGAGTCAATGTCAAATGAACAAATTAATCCAGTTTTGATAGGTGCGATATTCAACAGAACACAGTCATGAGCACGCCATGTGTTTTGCTGAAATTTCTCCATCCAATTTGTCATGATCATAAAATGAAATGAACAACTATCTGATATACAGAGATCTTTCCATCCTGAGAAAAACTCCAATAGAAGAATTCACATTACGATAATAATCAAAATAAGACACATTTTGTGCTAATTAACCCATTAATACAGGCATAAATCAGATACTTTAGAACTAATTAGATTAAATTAGACTGTGATTAGAGCACAGTAGAACTAGCAGGCCAACATTCAGGCACAATCTGATCGTAGGAACACAATTAGATCCCTTTTAGTAGAGGTACATAATATCACCAATAAATGAGATTGTTCAACCTCTTCCAATGATTATGATTCACTTCTCTTTGTCTATCACCAAAAAGAAAACTGAAGCATTGCTTTTCTTCTAAAAAATTGGTTAATGACAAGTCGGTGATCAATTAATTAAAGAGTAATGATGTTACTGTTCAAGCATCAAAGGGAAATTAGTGATAAGTCAAAATCAGCCATTCAATCCTAAAAGTGAAGGCCCCCTTCATCTAACAGCATCAATCTACGATAAGACCACTCAAGAGAATCTGCACCATTTTCAAATTTTGGTGCCATGTACTATTATCTTTCACCAATTAGGACAATTACTCCATATTATCTTTGTAAAAAATTATGGTATCTTCCCTCCCTTTAGTCCTATAAATAGAGTTCTTTGTGTATAAGTGTTTGGTGAGGGGAAGTGAATAGGCCATTATCATCAATCAAACTCTGTCTCCCTCTATATAAGTTCTCAGGTCTTTGAGTTTTGCAACCAGAAGCAATAACAAGTCCCTTTACTGCAGTCTGTAAAAATGGGCCGAGGCAGAGCTCCCTGCTGTGCAAAAGTGGGACTCAACAAGGGCTCGTGGACTCCAGAGGAGGACATGCGGCTCATTGCCTATATTCACAAGTACGGCCATGGCAACTGGCGAGCTCTCCCGAAATTTGCAGGTAGCTTCATGTCTCAATGGAACGGTTATGTTATATGTATAATTAAGTTAATCAAACTCCTCATTTTAAACAGGGCTTCTGAGATGTGGAAAGAGCTGCAGACTAAGGTGGATCAATTACCTTAGACCTGATATAAAGCGTGGTAACTTTACCAAAGAGGAGGAGGATACCATTATCAAGCTCCACGGATTACTAGGAAACAAGTAAATGAACTAAAATTCTGATTGACTTGTTTGTGCATTGTTAATTATAATCTTTTCCTTAATCAAAGGTTCGAACTGGTTTTACAGATGGTCTAAGATTGCATCTTGCCTACCGGGTAGAACTGATAATGAGATCAAAAACGTGTGGAACACCCACTTGAAGAAAAGATTGGTCTTGCCTACCGGGTAGAACTGATAATGAGATCAAAAACGTGTGGAACACCCACTTGAAGAAAAGATTGGTGCCTAAGGAGAAAAAATCAGGAGAAAACCCTGAAGAAATTCCAAGCTCACCGTCGTCAATGACTACTGCATCTGTTTCTGTGTCATGCTCTGATGAAGGTGAGAGCAAAAAAGAGAAAGAGCAAACTGACAAGGAACAGCATGAAGCTATGGATGACAAAATTGACAAGATTGAGTTATCCATTGAGCCCAATCTGGACATGTGGGATATGTTGGAGGATTCTTCTTATTCAGAAATAACACACGAAAATGTTGAACCTCCCTCCTCCGACATGCGAGTAAAAGGTGATGACGGTAATACTCTGGTCGACTTGCCCGAGATTCTGATCGAGCCAGAGATTTGGAATATGATCAATGATGACTTAAATATTGCACTGACAAGGGACACTACTGCTGCTGCTACACCACAAACTCATCATCAAAACATCAAAGCTAAGGGTGAAGATGAAAAAGAGAGATGGCTGCAATACTTAGAGAAGGAGCTAGACTCGTGGGAAGAGTGTGCCGCTGCTACTGCACAGGTGGAGGGGGCAGACCCAGTGGCAAGTTATTTTCAAGCACTGCAAGCTTCACCCTCACCTTTAGATATCTTATATTGATTACAAGTGCCCTCATGCAATGGTTACAAGAAATATGACTGCAAGAAAATGTGCTTGCTAAAAGATTATACAAAGATTGTAGTATAACAAGAATCTTTGGAAGTGGAGGGTGAACATTTTCCTAGCTTCACTCACCAAATCCGGTCAATGTTGATCAGTATAAATGTGTTAATTAAAACTAATGCAAAATACAGTGAAGAAGCAGTCATCATAGATTTCTCCTTGTTAATGTGAGTAATCCTTATTTAATATCAGTTAGTTTATGCATGCGGGAATATTTTGTTCTTGAGTATAAACTGAATGAAGGTTTTTCCATTCATTCATGACTTCAGAAAAATTTGAACAGGTCCTTTATAGAAATGTTGGGTATATCTGACTTAGCCTTATTCGGTGACGTTAAAAAGAGTTGAGGTGTGAGATTATGCATTTATAGAAGTGGAGAAAGAGGGGATTTTATGTCTGTCAAGAGTTGGACTAATTCCATTCAAATAGATGAGGGCATTAGTATTTTCTAAATATATATTCATAATGCTTACATAAATATTTCACAAATATCAACACAATCATTCAGCTCCACAATTTAACACTTGCACTTGTGTGTATTTAGCAATAAGCTTTTAACTCTACTTGTATTCCTTTAAAGAGTAAGAGTATTGGTTGTTTCGCGAATGAACGAATAATATTTCTTTTGTCACCTTAACTGCAGACACCTTGTCAATAATAATCAGACGGAATAGTGATTAACTGAACATGAAGGTGCCTGGATTTAATCAGTGATATTTAAGGCTAAATTTGCGCTAGCGTACAAATGGGAAGGTACGATCACATCTTTCCTAACACAATTAGACTTGTGGTTGAGAGAATTAGTAAAAGAGAGTTTGGATACCCATATCAGGGCTTCAACATCAATCATAATAAACAAGAACTTTGTTTTCTATTTCTACTTGTGAATGAAGATTGTCTAGCTTGTGGCTTCAAATGAATCGGCTGTTTTAACTGCCATGTGTCCTAATGAAGTGTTTAACATAGCAATTTGTACTGTACTATCAGTAACCAATTGGGATGGTTACCTGTAACTTGAATTATGAAATCAAAGTGATTGGTGTTCATGGCAAAAGAAAATTGTGTGATCTTAACTTGAATGATTTGCTTTGGAGCACATACTCAGTTTCCATGTCCCATTCCAGTTGCTCATCACTTATAAGCTAGTAGTGAACTGAAGGACAATAAGGATTGTAATTCACCAAATGTTATGCATTAAAATTTGTCGGGAAAATGAATTAGGTACTAGCCAGGTGACATGATCTTGGAGTCAGCTCCCAAAGCTCGTGATTACAGGCTTACAAGATAGAAGCAGACTATCTGTACATGGAGCAGGGTCCATTCAAGATTTGAATTCTACCTTATTGGATGCCACGTAGGAAACATACCCTCTTATACACACTTCGTACGTGTCATTTATATATAAAGTACAGATATATTACTACAAAGAAAATGGGCGGATACATAAACTCTAATATCCAATCTTGTCCACAACGAATGTGCCCTTTTATACATGTATATACACTATTATTACAAGACTACAAGTTCTCTATATATGTATTTACATGTACAATAGACTAACAGTCTAACACCCAATCCTCCCCAATCAAAAGAAGGGAAAAAAACAAAACACGAAAGGGAAAACTGATGGCAAATGATGGATACCTGAGTGTCTGGTAAGAACTGTGTAGGACCTAGCAACAGTTGCAACTCCGTGAAGTAATCAACTATTTGCACACTGGTAGAAATGTATAGTAGAGACTAAAAACATGATGTGGAACAGGTTGAACCCATTTATATGGACCATTTTACTACAGAAGAGCAATTTAATACTATTGCAATATTTAAGCGTGATTTTCTGCTTTAGTATATAAGATTTGGACATATGGCCGATAATTAGAAAGCTCACAACGAAATTTACAAAAGTCACAGTAGTGAGTATCAACTAACACATTTGGAAGCATGATGAAATGACCAGAACTGAAACTTCAAACCATGGGATAAAATTCGGAGTTCACCAGGAAGCCTTGAATCCATGAGGAACATTGAATCCACAAGGGAAAAAAATTTTGTAGTGATCTAGTCTGCCAAAAGTTGGCTGTGAACTACCTTCATACAGGCCTGAGGCTTCTAATCTAACTAAAGATAGAAAATATTGATCCAAATTAAAGTCTTCATTGCATTTAAATACCCTATAGATACCCTATAGTTTCCCTTACTTTGCACTTATATACCCTTACTTGTATTTGGCAGCACTTAATATAACTTAAAGTTTTTAGAACTTGCACTTATATACCCTTACTTTTTTTGACAGAGTTAAACACCTTACAGTTTTTAAAAACTATCACTTAAGCGCCCTAATGTTTTTAAAACTTGCACTTAAACACCTCATTTATGCAAACTTGAGGGTAATCAAGTGCATGTTTTGAAAACTTTAGACTTCAGGGTATTTAAGTGCAAGTTCTAAAAACCTTAGGGTATTTAAGTGCAAGTTTTGAAAACTTTATGGTATTTAAGTGATAGTTTTTAAAAACTATAGGGTTTATAAGTGCTGGCACAAAAAGTGAGGGTATATAAGTGCAAGCTTTGAAAACTTGAGGGTATACAAGTGCTGTCAGTGAGGGTATACAAGTGCAAAGTAATATAAGTGCAAGCTTTGAAAACTTGAGGGTATACAAGTGCTGTCAGTGAGGGTATACAAGTGCAAAGTACGAAAAACTATAGGGAATTTAGGTACAATTAAGCCTTTCTAACCAGCTGCATTTCTAATTGGTAGTTCATTTTATGAGTGAATGCCTTCAAACATTCGTCTTTCATAAACCAACATCTGGAATTTCTATAAATGCTCTCCAATTTTGTTGGTTTAGAGTTTGATAGTCATACTTCTTTGAGGAACAATATTATCTAACTATTTTGTTGATTTAGTATTCTCTCCTAATAGTGTTTCTTCCACACAAAAAAAAGAACTTCAATCAACTTCTTCCTTACGATATTATTTTTCTACCTGACTTGATTACCTTCGATTATGCACTTTTTCTGATGGAAAGTTACTGTGTTTACAGTAAACACCTACCCGCTACAGTAATCACCAACCGCAGTGCTGCTACGTTGCAGCAACACTGTAGTAACAATGCGCACCTACCACAAACTCAACTATATATAGCTTTCTCTAGTGTTAAGTTTAAATCATCCTAGTGTTTCCAATTAAGAGTGAAAAGAAAGAGAGGGGAAGAAAGAGAGAGAAAAAATAGAGAGTTTCTCCTTAAAAAGAGAGATTGTAACTCCTAAATTTTCCTCATAGTGGATTCTTCTATCATTGTCCGTGGTTTTTATCCCAAATTCATTTAGGAGGGTTTTCACGTAAATTTGTGTTCATTTTATTACTTCTACTCTACTATTCGCTGGGATCTTGCTCTATTGGACGTCGGGTTTGTTCCAACATTTTCTTCCCCCGTATTTATTTCCTCTAAAAAATTCCACATTTGACCTCTCTACCTTTACCTATATTCCTCCCTTTTCCTCCAATTAAATTTTCTCTCCTCTATCTTCCCATTCACATCATCATCCCTTTAAAACCCATAATCTAGTGCAAATCCACTCTCAAATGAAAATATCAAATATTAGCTCGGCCTTATGAATGATTAAAGGAAAACTACATGTTCCGTGAGCTACGGAACCTACGCGCTTCTAATTTTGTTGAAAATTTCAATTTCATTTAACATATTAGGTGTTTTTTTTTTCTTTCCACGATCTGAAAAGGACATGAAATATTGAAATTTAGATTGCACAATTAACAACTTACGTTCAGATTCCCACTGATTTAAAGGATTGATGTTTATCTCTATAGTAGACTACTAATTATACAACATCTACAAATATAGAAACAAGAAAATGCAGATTTACCTCGATAAGTACAAGTAAAAAATTTGAAGCGGTCTCATAGCCTTCAGATTCAGGATCATCATCACTCCCTGCGAAGAGATCGAGGGAGAAACAAAAATAAATAAATAAATAAATATAGAGATCAGTTATGGCGTTTTAGGGTTAGGGTTTAGAGAAAAGAGATCCAGGGGGCCTACGTCGGCGTTGTGATAGCGGATGAAGAAGATGCAATTGAGTTCACAGAATTCGATTTGATTCGTTGATTGATTTGAGAAAAATCGGAAACTGGGGATTTTCATAAGAGGGAGAAGGGTACCCTTGATGCTTTTTTTTGGCGGCAAAAATTCCCCGCTTTTCTTTTCCTCTCCAGGGTTGAGAATATATGGGCCTGGGTTGGTTCAAAAGAACGCGATTCCATGGGCCT